GTTTTGTTTTGTGAAGAACATCATTCCAGACAGCAATGCTACAGAGAAACGGGAAAGTTGATTCTTTCAACTAAACATTTGGCTTCATGTTTTATGAAATTTTTTTGTTTTGGTCATTGGTGGTTTCCACTAACCCCCCATAAATTTGAGATAACTGATGAAGCAACAATTCTATTGTGTCTGTGTCTGTTCAACCACCATGTTGTACTGACTCCTTTGAATGCAAGGGACGTGATACATTTCTTCCTTAAAGTCAAACTTGAAGTCTGGTTTAAATATTAATTATGATTCCTTACAATTTATTTATAGTGGTATGGGTCTTCAGTATGTATAATATTTATTTCTATGAATATCTTGTATATTATCGTCTTCTGGTAATAGTTTACTGCCCCTAACCTTTATATATAATTAATGGTACAAAGTAATTAGATAAAATGTAGTAAACTGTTAATTTAATGCTTAGGCTTACCTGTTTCCTAATTATGTTCCAATAACTTCATGTTACTGTATAATTCCTGGACCAATTTAAAGTAATTAAATATCCCCATTGGTATCTCAAGGTGCTTCTTTCAACTTACAGTTTTACAAGGAGACAAATAGCGTACAGATTATGCCCAGTACCTGTATTTGTTGTGTTTCCTCTTCTAATGGTGTCAGCAATGTAGCTGAGACATAAGTTTAATATAGTTAACAGACTGTATGAAATATTTGGCAACAGTGAACTGGGCTGCCAAGTTGTTTCTTAGTATTTGTCTGCGTGTGTATGCATGCATGCATGCTTATGCGCCTGAGACCTACATATAATAAGGTGCACCAGTTTCCTCAACCTCCAGGTGATAAAAACTTGGATTCTAACTGTTGGCTTCAGTTTTTAATTATTTTTTATTACTAATTTTTATTTCAGTTTTAATTAATGCTGTGCCCAGAAGATAGCAATACAGTGCACTAACATACAGCATCATATAGTTCTGTCTGATGATAGCTAAGTGTGGCCAAAACGTTTCACACTAACAGCATAAAGGAGTGAATGTAATGTGATGGTGTGGAGAAAACCCTTCTGAGTATTAAACAGATTTGGAAAAATAATGCCGAAATATAAAAAAAAAACTTCGTGGTTTTAGTCTGCAAGGAAACTACACCGATCGAGCGACTGCCGCTAATGCTAATTTTTAGTGGGTAGGGGGTGTCGCATGGTCAGCACGAATTCCCATGGCCATTAATTTCGGTTTTCTAGACCGGAGCCGCTAATATTAACTTAGGCTATAGGCCTATATTCTAAGCAACAGATAGTGATAAGCAAGGTGTAAAATTAACAGCTGTAGTACTTCCAGAAAGCCTACAGATTAACAAGAAAGCTCTTCTTTTATTTGGTTAATCCATCATGAATGCCTTCCAAATGCACTGCTCATAAGGGAATACACCCATATATAGTTTCAAGAACAACATGTAGGATGTCTGATTTATGCTACAAGATAACTTTCCTTTGTGCCTGAAGACTAGATGTTTGTCCATGTTCCCTTATATAAGGTAAGATTGAAGTTATTCCTGTGCTTAACTAATTAAGCACCATGCCATGAGATGTATTTGTGAGTGGAGGTGTCAATCCATCATTCTTAACCTTTGTACTGTATGGAAGTGATAGGCCAGCTTCACACCACAACCACTTTACACTTGGGGAAGTAGCTGCTGGTATGCATTCTGCAGGAGGCTTCGCAGACCCCTGAGCTGGCCTTGGTTCTAGGAAGAAGAGAAATATATCTTGCCCCTGTCTGGAATCAAACTCTTAATCCACTTTCATCCAGCCTAGTCATTATACCATCTGAGCTACACCACTTCCCATATTCAAGTGTAATACAAACAATACTGCTGAATGAAAAGTAGTCTTTAAGACTTTAAGAATGTTCCCATGCAGTTTGTGTATGAATCATTTTCTGTGGTGTGACCTGACTGATAGTGTATTATTTACTATAATTATGTATGGTCAGCCAGGAAATGAATATATCAGCAGAGATTACAGGAAGGAAATACATTCATTTCATAACTGCATTCAGGAAAAAACATTCCAGTGTTGCCAGTCTGACTTCTTTAAAGGTGAGACATAATGTGTCTTACAGAACGAGTTCATAGTTTGCTAGAATTTTGTGAATTCAATAGCCATAGTTTCCTTTTATGCCAAAATTTAGTGGGCTGATATACAATCAGAAAGTTTGAGGGTGCTTATTGTTAAAATACAGTACCTTAAATCATCAATGAAAATAAAGCTGTTTTAACAAAATGAGGTTCAAAAAGAGAATACTAGTGAATTAAATTTCAGGCAGCTACAGCATTTAAGATTTAAATATATCCAAGTTACCATGAATATCCTTGCAGTTGCACTGTTTTTAAAGGATTAAAAAGGTGGCCAAGGAAATCTTGCTTTATGGACATCAAGGAACCTGTTCAACAGTGCTCTTATTCTGGATGTTTCATTTATAAAAGCAAACACAGCCCCTGCTGTGTTAGACCTTGAGCCATCATACTTGAACCAACTTTTGTCAATATCAACAGTGTGTTTAGAATTACTGAACTTCAGGACTTCATCCATTTCCATCTTGATCTGTTTCTGTCCTCAGGTGAATCAGTGGGAAAATGCATACTCAGTTGAGTCTGTTAGAAAGAATTGATCTTAGTCACTTCCCATCTCATTTATTTACATTCCATAAATCCACTACATATAGGATAAGGAATTAGTCATTGATAGTACAAATAACACTACATAGAAATAACAATATAAGATTCATTACATTATTCAATACCATAATAGATCACAGTTAATTATTGGAGTCAAATTTACAGTCAAAGTATTCTTCCAAGGAATAAAACGAATTCATCAACAAAAATCTTCTTAAAACAATTTTAAAATGTTTAACATCTTGAGCCAGGTTCCTTATATTAGGAGGAAGCCGGTTAAAAACCTTAATTCCATGATAGTACACTCCTTTCTGAAATACAGTCAACTTACATATAGGATAATGGAATTTATTATTATATCTTGTATTCCTATTATGTAACTCAGAATTTAACTTAAATTGATCTTTATTATTAACCACGAACATTGCAAGAGAAAATATATACTGAGATTGAAGGGGTAAAATTTCCAGTTCCCTGAACAATTCCCTACATGAATCTCTGTTTCCAGAGTTCATTATAATTCTAATCGCCCTTTTTTGCAATCTAAAGATATGTATACTATAAGGGGAATTACCCCAAAAAACCAAACCATAGGTCATAATTGAATGGTAGAAAGAAAAGTAAATCATTCTTAATGTACCCTGAAACATGTAAGATTTTAGGGCTCTAATCACGTAAGATGCGGAGGCCAATCTAGACATTAACCAATCCACATGTCCATTCCAAGACAATGTGTTGTCCAGTAATTGAAATTATCTCCCATCACCACATTTTCACTTGAGAATGGAAACAGAGCTAGTTTCTAAAATGTTGTATTCTTTCAGAATACTGGATGATTGACAAAGTCCTGAAATTGAGTAATCCCCAGTATAGCATACCATCATTGGAACCCTTTAGAGCTTGAAAAGTACTATCTTCTGGGATTTAATGCTGTGTAGTCCCTTGAGAGTCAACTGATGTTTCGGAAGAACATATCACCTCCATTTCCAGGGTCAAAGAATAAGCCAAGCGAGATACCAGCATAAAAGCAGGTGGCAGGAACCCTGAGTGCCACCTGCTTTCATGCTGGTATCTTGCTTGGCTTATTCTTTGACCTTGAAGATGGAGACGATATGTTCCTCAGAAATGTCAGTTAGCTTTCAATGGATTACATGGCATTAGATCCCAGAAAATTGTACTTTTCATAACCATTGCTGTGTGAACCTCAAATCCTACCTTTAGATCTTATTTAACAACATAATTCATCTTTAAGGGTAAGAATTCATTCCGAAGAACAAAAATGTTTTAACATGCATAGTCATGGAATATTCTAAAGTTGTGCATATGACAAGTACCGCAGGATGAAGACTTGCAGGAGTTTAGGGTCAAAATTTCATATTGTCACACAATATAGAGGTGACCAGTGAAGTTCATGCTGTGGGTACTTCATTCCTTTCAATTGAAGTTCCCAGTACCTGTTGCATAGGAGGTGCACAGCATCTGTATCTTTTTTGCATCTCTAATGCAACTGAGTGTCAGAGTCTACTGCTTGGCATTCCTAGCCCATGTTGCATATTGATCTCTAGACCATCAGGAAGCCTTTGCCAGTATAATGACAGCCATTTGCCTGAAAATGTGAGTAGAGCTAACTTCAAAATGATGTGTTGTATCCTACAGAGGGCAGTACCAAGGCTTAACTGTGTAATTGGTTTGCCACTGTCATGAACCTTAACAGAATTTCTATGAGAATTGGAGTTCTCATAGTGATGGATGGGGCACACGGTAGTGTAGTTTGTTGAGGCACTGTGCTACAAACTGGAAGGTTGTGAGTTCAAGTCCAGATGAAGTGGAATTTTTAAATTTACCTAATCCTTACAGCTGCAATTTGGCCCTGGGATCGACTCAGCCTCTAACAGAAATGAGTACCAGGAATCTTCCTGGGGGGTAAAGGGCTGCTGGCGTGTAAGGCTAACAACCTTACCGCCAACTCTGAACCGATTGTCTAGATAATGTGGGACCCTCAACATCTCACATCCATATGGGCCTCCACGGCCTGTTACAAGGATAGCTTTACCTTTTTACGTTTATCATAATGATGGATATGAAGGTTACTGCCCTCAGGAGTGTGATGCAATATAGTCTGGTAGAAAACCACCAGTTTTTCAGTAAATACATCTATCTTGAAAGTAAGATATAATTTTCTACCCTGAATATGGGGGCAGTAATCTCCTTATATATCAGTGAATCTTATACCCATTCTCATCTTACCTAATTGACTTTTTTTTTAAGAATTCTTAAACCTACAGCACTAAAGTGTTTGTGTTCTATAAACACATTGTTTTGTCCTGCAGGCCTGGTTACAAGGCATCAGGAAAATCACGCACAATGTAAAGGCAAATAATGTATGCCCCATGACGTGTTTGAAGAAGCAGTAAGTTTGGACATTTGTTGATTAGACGTGTAGAGAGCATGTTGATGTGTCATGTTATTAATATTAGTTGTGTGTGGATGTTATTGTTTTTGTTGCATGGATTGCCCACCTGCTATGTGTTGTTACGATTGGTAGACATGGCAGGAAGGTTTACGGGCTATCACACATAACAACAAGATAAGCAACATCTGTGTTCGCACTACTCTCATGAAACAGTAAGTTCAATGTTAATGCAGTTACTTGCTTGTGTGTAAACACAGTTTACACACAAGAAAGTTTATACAAACAGATTACATTACCCTGATAACTTAAAGAAAGTGGTAACATTATAAAGGTAAGTAAAATATTAAAGCAGGCTGTGCCATAGCTGAAGCGGTTAGTCACTGGCTTCCCACTGCATTGGCCCTGGTTCAATCCCAGGTCTGATCAAGTGGGATTTGTGGTGGACAAAGTGGCGCTGGAGCAGGTTTTCGCCGAGTACTTCGGTTTCCCTTTCCAATCTTCATTCCACCAATTGCTCCACAATCACCCTCACCTATCATCTTGGACTGGTACAATAGGCCAGAAGTGGCCGCTGTACAAGGGACTTAGTCCCACCCCACTAGCAATAAAAAAATTTTAAAGCAGAAAAATATTGGAACTGTGTTTTGTTAAGCTTAGTTACTGAGGTTGTGTGAAATGAGCCCCTCATAATAAGTTGGACCAGATGGTTTCATCACAGCCTACCAGCTGACACAGGGTAATGCATTTGTTCAGTGAGAATGGTTTCCCAGTATCATGCAATGATATTACTGGGGTCTACCAGAGAGTAGCTCTAGACACCACAATAAAACTAAGGCCATTTCACCTAAGGCTTCCGGTAGCAGGTTGGATGTTACTCTCATGCTAAAATTTACATGTTCCTTCCTCCAGTTTCATATAATATTGTAATGTGTAGCTTGGTACACATGATGAAAATGACAGGTTCTAGTTCGGATGATTGGATATATTAGCACCTTCGTTAGAATCTCTCTCAATCACATTTACTACTGATTTACACACTTTTTAGTTCACTGCTGCACACGCACTAGGATTCCCAGTCTTCAATAGTCGTCTCCTGGAAATGAATCTCAACACAGAAACTATAACAGTCTCACTGGATTACACACCCCAAGTATTGCACATAAACAGAGTCTCCAAATCACACGTTAAATCCTCACAGGCTGACCTGTACCTTTCTTTACTCCTGGTTCCAATTCGCTCTGTTCACATGCTTCTGCCGCTGCTGTCTCTCGTAACTGCCCTCAACTGAACTTGTTGCTCTGTCAATGTCACTGCCTTGGTTATTCCTGGAATCTTGTTATATAGCCGTGGCACGGACCATGCAGAAATCACAGTTCTATTGTAAGAACCATTGCGTTACCTGACAACTGGTCACAGACAGTCCCATTCCTACTGTTGCTTGGCGCAGACAACATAGAAAACACAGCTTCCTCTGTTGTTATGTAGTGTGCCTTGTTTACAGAGCTGCTACCTGGCAACGCATCAGTCAAATGCGTTACAATAAGTTGTGCCATCCAGTTAATTTTGTACAGATGTGGGGGTGAGAACTTAAATCAGTGACATATCCCATTAAACACATGAATATTCTTTGTATCAGATGGCTTCACTTGCACTTGGATCTTGAGCAGTGGCAGTGGAGTGGTATATTCTGTTATTTGCAGTCTGTTATTTAAAGTAAGTTTTATTCTAGTCTGCAATTCTATTGTTAGAAACAATACACATTATTTTGTTTTTATTAGTGATTTTGTTAGTGTTAGTGAATAATGAATGAGATGGATGTACTTCTGGAAACTCCATTTTCCATCCTAAGTATAGAAGAAAAGTTAGAAGTGAATAAGCACACCAATCTCTAGATTTTTAACTTCAGAAAATTGGCAAGACTCAAAATATATTATTATTCACTTTTTGGTCTGATAAGAAAGCTACCTCTTGGAAGACATGATGAAAGTGAAACATACTATAGTTATGGACCTAGTGTCAAGTTTATACAGCATTTTAGATGAACATCCTCACAGAGCTGATGTGTCAAAAAAACGATATGGAGTGATTGTTGAGTTGCAACCACTGATGGAAGAAATTCAGTGCCAATATTATATAAATTCAAGTAGATGAAATGATTGGCATTTCATGTATATCTCAGTTTGTCATATTGCTGTGATACATTAAATGTGACGGTCCTGTTGAAAGATTTTATTCCTTTGTTAAAGTTCAAAATCACATGCAGAAGTTTTGGCATTTGTTTTAAAACAAGAATTGGCACCCAACAAACTTGTTAATTGCTTCAGTCCTATGATGGTGCTGCTGTCTTTAGTGAAGGAAAAAAATGGGGTTCAAGTCAAGATGAAAGATACCTGTTTTCCTCAGCATTTCATTCACTTTTATGCTTATCGGTTGAATTTGATAATGAAGCAAGCATGTGTCACAGTAAAGTCAGTAAAACTCTTTTTGCCAGTATGTCAGGATTTTCATCTTTCTTCCCACTTCACCTAAACATTCAGATTTGTTAAGAGCTGTCTGTGGCCTCACTGTCCTGAAATCTCTGGAAATGCAGTGAAACTTTTGAAACAGGTTTCTAAGCTCATTATATATTAGTGTGAGTTCTCTGTTGGAATGCTTTAGCATTATTCGGAATGAAAATGGTTGCAATGACATTTCAATGAGAGAGTCAGTTGGGCTAATTAAGTTGTTGAATGACAAAGTATTTCTGTATTTTCTGTTTTTTTCATTCAGTTTTGTTGCATGTGAACGTTTTGTACAACACCTTTCAAAAAGTGTCAATCCATGCTATAAATGTAAATCTATTTAACACTTTGAACTTGCAATGAACAGTATCAGGGGAATCTGTCTCAGGTGAGTGGCAGTCCAGACTCTTCAGCAAAATTTGCGTGAAAGGATCTCACTGTCAATGCTGGCACAAAGTAAATATGTAACATTATAATGACTTAAATGAAACATCATGAAAGAGAAGCAGCTCGCATCCTGCCCATAACTATCATTGAACCACAGCTTTTCATGATATAAAGAATGTTTTCCTGTTGAACACATGAATAATGTGAAACACTTTCCTATGATTTCAAAGTGTAAATTAGAGAATGAATTATTTGACACAATGACAACATAAAATTTGCATAAATGTTCTTCAGAATTTAGTGGGAAAAAAAATCTGGAAAACACCCTCCCAGAAATACACAAATTATTGGAAATAGTACCAACAAAACCAGTCCTAATCGCAGGGTCAGAACGTTGTTTTAATGCTCTAAAAAGAGTAAATACTTAATTTATGGTATCCACAGAACAAGAATGTCTGGACACTTTGGCTGTTCTGAGTATCCACAAAGATGTAATCACAGACACTCCAAGATTCAACTAGAAAGTAACTGAGTTGTTTCATCACAAATAAATTGAAGAGGACAGTTTCTTTATAAAGATGAGATAAACTTTATATTATACTGAATTAACACATATAGCAGCATGATTGATTACCCTTAATTAAATATACATGCACACTAAAATAAATTCATGTGAGAGGAAGCTGTGTTTTGTTATTATTAAGGGTAAGAAACTTCAGTAAGCTTCACATAAGTGTAGGAGACTATTGTTATTTGTTGAATTCACAAGTTGGGGGAAATGTGTGCATAACATATTATTCTGGAGCATTTAAAAAACCATAAGACTTATGGAAAAATTATATGAGACCTAAAATATGTCCCTTCGTTTTCTCGTTGAAACATCTTTTGCGCTGATAATATTTGACAAGTTACACTGAAGGTGGGAACAGAAATATGTGCTGTTTTACCTGATTTTAAGCAAAATTGGAACTTTTGAATATGTCTAAAAATATTAATAAAACTCCCTAACACCAGATTTTATGAAAATTCATTCAGAAGTTCCCAAGTTGTTTTATACATACAGATGGACAGAGTGATTTCAATAGGTACTCCACAGGGATAAGAACATGACAGAAAATTAGTGCAAGAGTACAACTGTTACATGTGTGAATATGAGTATGAATGTTTGCATGTGTACACATGCAAAGTCTTTCTGGAAGGCCTGAATTGTGTGGCTCCATTAGCTGGAATCATAGCTGTTGGCTGCCAAGAGAATGGAGTTATGAACCACAGCTAATATGCCATATATGTATTATGAACATGGTTTAGACCTCATTACACTAAATGCTCAGAGATGCCCAGAATGTCTCCTTTCTGCTCATAAACAGATTTTAGGACTTAAGATTGCTTGACACCAATTTAGTTCACTGACCTCAAAAAATATTATTTCACAAATGTTGTGTTTAAGTTCTTCCAGTTTGTGAGGATTATTTGAATATATTAGGTTTCCCTACAGATGAAAACGTAGGGATTTAAGTCTGGAGACCTTTCAGGCCAAAATCTACAACTTATCAGCCTGTCTTCAAACCACTTACATCAGACAGGGAATAGCAGCATGTGCTGTGTAGCACCATTTTATGTAAAAATAACCATTAGTCTCTTCTTATTCCATAATGCTGTCAAAGAATGCCACTGACATACTGTCCTGAATTAATAGTATTTTAAAATATATGGGTTCTGCTATTTATATAGGAGTAATGGCACACTGCATACTATCTTACCATGAAGGGGTACTTCAGAAATGTGTCTCAGATTAATATTGCTCCAGTACCTATTGCTCTGAGCATTGCTATGCTCAGAACAAAGCTTGATCAGTAAAAAATGTAAGGTTTGAGTCAAGAACACCTTCATGTACTTCCCACTGAAACCAGCCGCAAAAATGTTTTCTTTCTTTTATAATCACCTTCAGTTGCTTGAACCAATTGAATTATGTATGTCACTAGATGTAACTTTTTAGTTGCTCTCCATGCTCTTGTCATCAAAACCTGTTCCAGCAAGGCTAATTATGTGAGGGATTTTCCAGGCTAATGTTCTAATCTGGCTCCAGTTTTATCAAGGTTTTCCTCAGCATAGTATTCTTTCTGGTGTATTTCTTGTCCAAGAAATACCCAATTGACACAATTTCTTCACAAATTCAGAAATTGTTAATAAAACTGGGACTCAAGTAGCAGGATGTTTACAGTGAAATCCTCTTTTGCACAATTTATGTAATTTATTATTCATGTAAATATACAGAAAACTTGCTGTTCAAGTTTATGTATCACAATCTCAATTCAGTATTGTCAGTGAGAACACAAAACAGACTTCTGAGTACATAAACACAAGGGGAACTGGTCTGTATTACACAGCTGGAGTCAAAATAATGCAAGATAAACAGTAACAGAGCCATTACATAGTGATGCTAGCTGATAGTTTCTTTCCCTGTCCAAAAGACTGCTTGCATACATGCATAGACTGTCCTCTCCATTTACAACCTGAGAATGTTCCATGCACTGATGCCAACGTCCCAGTTCATATGGATATGCATATATAATATGTTATCCTCATGTGAAATGTTGTTCTCTGTATAAAGCAATCTTACATCAAGCTGCCATGTAGGAGCAGAATAGAGGCCATCATTCGTTGGAGAAATCCATCTGTGTACCTAGAAGCAGTCGCCCATATGCTTGTCATGAATTCATTTCCACAGTGGGTTGAAGAAAACAGAAAATACATTGCATACCATTATGATAAAGCTTATGGATACCTATCAGAAACATTGAGCCTGCTGGAATTAGGACAGTGGAAGATTATGATGATGATGATGATTATTATTATTATTATTATCATTATTGCATGTTTGTCATAAATCTGTATATGATCACCATCTTTATGGTCATTTATTTTCTATAAAACATAAATGTTATTCTCCCACAGCTGGATGCGACTAGGATTCCTTACTGATCCTAAGGGCAAAGTACCAGTGAAGGTTGTGGCAAGAACTTTTGCATCAGGAAAGACAGAGAAGTTGGTATATCAGTGTCTCTCAGACCTTGGTCTTCCCAGTGGAAAGGTAGGAGGAATCAAGAAGCATTGTTACACCAGTGTTATAAAGAGGAATATGTGAAATGCAAGATAAACTTTATATATTCAGATACAAAGATATTCTGTTTACTTTAATAATGAATTTTTTCATTAATTATTCATATTCTATACAAGTGTTACAGTAGTAAAAATCTTTAATTTTAAATTTTGTTTGCTTTCTTTTAGTGTTTTGACTTGAAGCATGATTGTCAGATGACTACCAGTAATTGATAATTGGATTTTTCTCATTGTAATCTTTCTAAGCAAATGCCAGAGAAACTGCAGATTATGTATATAAGAGATTTAGTATAGAAAGTAAGAAAGTTTAGTCGAAGAATCAGCAGTGACTCAATGAGCTACATGCTGTATGATGCTTATTTTCTGTATGTGTAATATAAGAAATTAAAACAAGAGGGAACATTCTGCTATGTTAGTCCAAAGAAATTGAGGAAGCCATTTCTTTTTTTCTGCTTTTCTGTTCAAAGAACGTTATTCCTACAAAAGCATTATGCTGATTTCAATAACTAAAACTGATGTGAGGTTTATGTAATGTTTTTGTTGTTGAAATATAACTTTGTCTAACATTTAAGAGCTAATTATGAAAGGTCTCCAGAATTTTGAAATCATGGAATTCATTCATTCATTCATTTCCTTTATTTTCCATATATCCATACAGGCAAAAATATTTTCAGCCATTCAAACACTGCAGTAATATATATTTTAAATTACTACTATCAAAATCAGAAGGTTTGTCACTGTATTCGCAAGATTACACCACTAAACACCCTCTTCTGAACCAGTTGGATTAAGATTGCACTCTCACACTGTAATTCCCAAAGATCCACTTTAAAATTATCCTTCCATCTACATCTGGGTGTTTCACATGGCACGAACAGGAAAGTGAGATTCAAACACTGTTTATAAAAAAAAATCTAATACAACTGTGAAGTTTGGTTTTACAAATCCTGTCACGTTCATTTGGTGCATTTTTAATACAAAAATGAAAATTGATACTTTTTCTTGTATGCAAATTCCGTACATCATGTCTGTTTAAAATGAGCCTTTGGATCAAGTGCAATAAATGAGATACTCAATTTCTTTATTAAAATCCGTCACAACACAACAGTATCAAGGTCAAGGTCGGCTCGGCTACATGTTTCGGCTATTAAAGCCACCATCGGGCAAATACATGATTAACATATTCACATCACTGAACTGCAGTACTGGTAAAACTGGATACATGATAATTATAACATTATAAAATGCTTGGTGTAGAAGTACAATGAACTAGACTATATAAAAATGAAAGTTATAGGGTAAAACAAGGTTAAGACTCTTCATGTCATGTTTTACATCATCAGGTCAGTTGTTGGTTGCAATTCTGTTATATTCCCGCAGACATAATGGTATATTCTAAATTTTGTGTACATGTAATAAACTGCTTTGGAGGCCCATGGTATGGATGTAGTATAGTATTGACGTTAATTGTTTAGCCGGTGCCTCATCTTACAATGTAACTGTCCGTTCTGTAAGGAATATAAATTGTAACTTTTGTTTTTATATAGTCTTGTTCATTGTACTTTTATACCAAGCATTTTATAATGTAGTAATTGTCATGTATCCAGTTTCATCAGCACTGCAGTTCAGTGGTGTATATATGTTAATCATGTATTTGCCTGATGATGGCTTTAACAGCCAAAACATGTAGTCAAGCTAGTCTTGGCCTTGACCTTGATATTGTTGTGTTGTGACAGATTTTAATAAAGAAATTGTATATTATAACACAACAGGATGCATGAAATGAAAATCAGATACTGTTTGAAAGCTTTTTTTTTTGGTATTTGTTCATGTTTAAAAACAAACCAAAATGTATAGATGTTTGTACTTAAATGATTTATGGTTGCTATTTTAATTCTACTTATATGTTTCAGGGTGATTTGCAGTTGTTTCTCTAGTTATACATTCAAACTCTGCAGCTTTTGCAAGAGCATGAATATTACTGAACAAATTCTTACTCAGCTCAAAAGCTGTACACATTTTACAAAAGTAAACAGTAATATAGTTGGGTACCTTATATTTAGAGAAGAGCATAAAGTAGAAGCAGTTGAAAAGATAGGTCTGAAGAGGGTATTTTTATATAAATGAAATGGAGTGACAGGGTAATAGAAGAGAGTTCATACTTAAAATCCTGTTCATTTATACTTACTACATTCTGTAAGTAAGATAAATAAATAAGGAAGAAACCTAATGGTCATGGTGAAATACATTCTAACCTCATTCAGAAATGCCCAGATTTGTAGCATATGCTGCAAAGCATCAGAGTAAATGGAATCCATTTTGTTTCAGAATGATGTAATAGAACCAGAAGACTTCACTTTTGACAAGTTCTATGGCTTGTACCATAAGATTTGTCCAAGAAATGATATAGAGGAACTCTTCCAGTCTATGTGAGTCAATGTTTGTTTAGTTTATTTGTAGTTAAGTCCATTGCTTTTCTTCACCGTGTATGCAGATATATGGTCTCCTTGAAGGAGGGGATTTTATTTATTTTTGTATTATAAAGAAGGGTTCCAGTATGCCATACTGTTCCTAGGAAGAACATAATGATTCAGTGCACTTGTAGGGACTGTGTTGCAATTAGCTTTATGAGGAAAATATGTAAATATGAGTATTTGAATTAAGTGTGTGCCTTAGTATAATAGATGTTGCCTTGACACTTGTGCAGCACCCAAGGTAAAACAGAGACTATTAGTATGGACCAGTTCATCCTATTTCTGAACGAAAAACAGAGAGATCCAAGATTGAATGAAATATTATATCCATTGTATGATGAGAAGAGGGCTGCAGAAATCATCACTACGTACGAACAGGATGAACAGGCTCGGGGTGAACGTGAGTAGTCTTACGATTGTTACTCATTGCACTGGGATTAGTCAGAATACTTCATGCCTATTTGCTGTGTATAAATGTTTAAGCATTTGAACTCATTATTAACTAACTACACAGGGCAGAGTTCTATTTAAGAAGCCAGTAGTTGCTCAGCTTTTTAAGATATTCCTTATCTTTTAGGGAATCAAAAGTTTGTCATCTGTTTTTGAGATTCCAGTGCACGATCTTATCCTGAGGCAGTTGAATCCAGCTTACATACTCACACTGTTACTCTTTAAGTTCCATTTTAATATTGTGGTGTATAGACCCATTGCTAAGCAGTGACTTTGTAAACAATGACCATTTCTTGGCAACAGCTCAGTCACCTAATTAGTTACTTCCTGTCATGTAGAATTTTGTGTTTATTTCTTGTACCTCCACATCTATGGTGCATCTTAATTGATTCAGTCATGCTAATAAATTTTTGTTTTTGTTTTGTTCATGGAGGTAGTAAATTTTTTCCCAAGAAACACCATTACCCTAGATCCAAAGAAGATATGTTCCGTAAGATTTGAGGCTTTCACAGCGGTGACTATGAAGAAAGCAGTCTTCTGGGATTTGGCACCGTGTATATGTGGTGTTAACCGACGTTCCTCCGAAACGTCGGTTAACACCACATATACACGGTGCCAAATCCCAGAAGACTGCTTTCTTCAAGATATGTTCACTTAGTGTCATTGTTTTGTGATTTTTTCTTCCTAATAGCGAAGTTAAAAAGAGTGATATTATAAAATCTCTCGATTTTAGACTGTTAAATTCAAAATCATCATTTTGTAATTTAAGTCATTTGTTTTAGCCTGTGTATGCTAAATATGTTCATGACTTTGTGTCAAGTGTGCATGTCAGTTGAAGTTGTCCTATTAAGGTTAGGCCAGGAATCTCCTCATTTTATGGCTTGGATTACAGATGATAGCTTTCTGAACTGATCCCAGCATGTTTGCTGATTAGAGTGCTTCCCTTGTTGTCCGAAGTATCTTGGTACAGTACCATTGGTGAAATGATTGTTGGTCTGATGTGTAAGCTTTACTTACTCATTTCTGTGGTCATATCCTGACTGAAGAATGTTGTTTAGTGGAACTACTGCATCCCATTAGCTATACAATTTTCTTTGTCATGTCAAATTGTAAGGTACCTGGTCTATTGTCCATGATTATTCTAGATATGATTTGCAATAAATCTTAGTTTAGTTACTATAGGATTCTGACGATGGTGTATAACACACTGATATATTGGGTTTTTGGACTTTATCCGTCGTCCTTATCTTAAAAACCAGGACGATGGATAAAGTCCAAAAACCCAATATATCAGATCTTAGTTTGTTACGCATATTTGTATTGTTACCAATATTATTGTTGTTTTCAGTTTGAAGTAGGATGATCCTTAGTAAGTGCAGACACTAGCACTAACTTTCTGGGTATCTATACCATGTGACCATCCCACTTCATGATATTCACTGTTAACATTATTTCATTTTCATCTTTGTTATTTTGGTTGTAGTTGTTCAGTTTTATGATTATTTTGGTTATAACCCTTATCATTGTTTACTGAACATTTGCATCATCTTTGTTTTTTCATTGTATACCTTCTTATTTTTGTTACTTGAATCAGCTTCATTCTCGAAATGCTGATGGTCATTCACCTGTGTAAGAAATTTGCTGCCTTTTATGGAACCTGAAGCCCCATTACCATGTTCACAGGAGTCCACTGCTGGTGTCTGTCCTGAGCCACATGAATTCAGTCCACACCCTATACCTTATTTCTTTAAGATCTATTTTAATATTATCCTCCTATTTACACACAGGTTTTCCATTGAGGTTTTCTGATTACAATTTTGCATACATTTCTTACCACACCTATGGTAACACATGCATTGTCTGTTTCATCCTCCTTTTGTTTATTTTACTGAAAACGTTTGATGAAAAGTACAAATTATGAAGCTTCTCATTACTGAACTTTCTCCAGCCCCTTGTCACTACCGCTCTCTTAAGCCCAAATATTCACTTAAGTGCCCTTAATGTGAGTGGCCAGATTTCACATCCATACAAAACTATTGGTAGAGTTATAATTCTGTATGTTTCAATCTTTACATTTTCAGAAAGCAGACAGGAGGACAATATTTTGAACTGAATGGTAGCATGCATACCCTGAATTTAATCTGCTCTTAATTTCTTCATGACTGCAATTTTGATCTGTTACTGTTGCTCCAAAATATTTAAACAGTGCCACATTTTCAAAAGATTTATCAATTGTCTTCAAATTTTCATTTTATCCTGCATTATACCTACAGGACATCAGTGTATGTTTAGAGTTCTATGTGTATACTTCTATACCAGGCACAGAAGTTAAAGGCGTATGAGATAAGCCAATGAATGTGAAGCATGCTGCTGCCACATGTTCCATTTGAGAGCAGAGTAACAAGACCAGTTCTCACCATTTAAATTCAATTTGGTAACACAAAATGCTGATGCCATTATAAGAATGAGGAAGTCACATGTTTCTTACCTTCAGTAATAGTTGTACATATGTAACTTTGATGAAACTTGCAGCCACTGCCTATCACCAAACTGCAGGGCAGAGCTAGTGTCTCATCCTCATGACTCATTTCATTCTTCTGAACATTACTGAAATATCTGCCACTATCATCTCTTAAGTTTATAATGAAGTGCTGTATTACTTTGTTCCAAAATATTTTTTTACAAAATTCTTCTTTTTGTGATTGGAATGTTGAATACAGAGAGCCCAATCTGTCCTAGGCTTTGTTCATGTCTCAATATCTACTATTGTAAACATGTTTTATTTTGCAGATTCTATATAGTATCTGTAGAAATACAGGCAGAAAGCATGTGTCTCCAAGAAGTTGTAACTATGGGGCTTGAACTGATAGCTTCAAAAACAATGCTTTATTCATTGATTTTGGTTTTAAGATCCTGTTTTAAGCATATATTCTGAGCCACAGTGATAAATATATAATCTTTGCCACAGTGCCATTCAGCATATGAACTAGGCAACATTAGTGAATCCCCAATGGTTAATGCAGTTCTCCTCATCCATCTATAAGCCTTTAACTTTTGGCTCTTATAGACCAGACCTTTTACTGAAATTTAATAGAGGTTCTCCATCTCTCTTTATGATATTTATATTTTTCCTCAATAAATTAGAATCAGCAACATAGAGCAAAAGCTGATCTACCCATCATTTTCAGTCTTGTTGCTTTGTTGGACCTTGCCACTTGGCATTGATGAAATCCAGCTATGTACAGATGAGTGAAGTTGCATGTTGTTTATATAATCCATTTTTTCATTCTTATCAGCAACATTTTTTAGAAGAAAACCAAAATTGCCTTTATTTTACCACTGTACCTCATATATTGTTCTTACATGTGATCATAAGTATGTTACTACACAATTGTAGGGAAGCTGACAAAGGATGGTTTGATACGCTACCTGATGTCTGATGAAAATGCACCAGTATTTCTGGATCGCCTTGACATTTACATGGATATGGACCAGCCTTTATCTCATTATTACATTAATAGTTCCCACAACACCTATTTAAGTGGCCGCCAGTTTGGTGGAAAGTCTTCCGTTGAGATGTATCGCCAGGTTCTGCTAGCAGGCTGCAGGTTCTGTGTTTTTTAAATTAATTGTATATTCTATAAGCTGTCTTTTGTTATTCTGTTTCATTGCATTGTTCATATTAACCAAAATTATTCTTGTGAAAGTAAACATTTTCTCCAAAAAAATCTATGTATACCCTGTACGGTGTTAATCGGTAACAGAAGGTAGCTTACATGATTTAATTCTGTAACTATTATACTTTGTTTCATTCCATAACACATTTTCATTAAACACTATGTGATTAGCAAGTTTAAACCAAAGTAAAATGGCTGTCATTGAGGTTAGAGACAGATTCTTTATCTAAGATTTTATGTGACATCTGTCTTATTTCTTTGGCATGGCAAAGTGTGCCATCTGTCAGTTTTGCATGGTTGATAGAGTATGCAATCTATCATGCACTGTCCACCAAATAATAGTGAATAAAAGTTCTTTTCAGAATGTACCAAATGTGATGATGTCTTTCCACTTGCTGCTCATGCTTGGATTTTATTCCTACTGCTGTCTCTTTGATAGTAGTAAAATTTTGTATGGATGTCACTTTTTATCCATAAGAATGGAATATAAGAAATATGCAGGGATTTGTTGGTTCTCAATTTCAGAATAAGGAACAAGTGTCTGTGGAATACACAGCAGCGTGGGTTATGCAATGAAATACAGTATGTCCACAAAGTCCCGTCAGGGTTTTGAAAAATTATGGCACACAAACAAATTGAGCTAGCCACATGCAGTGTGCGGCAGATCATAGTGAAACTGTGGAAGTTTTTTACTGACCTCAGTAGACCTTGATGTGTGCTCCCTTGGTAGCATGGAGAATGCCCAGATGATATTCAAGCTATTGACGTGTTCTGTGGAGCATGTCCGCTGGAATAGCCAAGATCACATTCCTGATACAGGTGTTCAGGTCATCAAGTCCGTTAACTGGTGTTTGGAACACACTGCTCTTAACATAACCCCATAGGAAAAGATCTGCATTCCTAGACAGGACATTTCCAGGAAGATGGATTTGCTGAGACAGTGCAATGCCTTGGCCTCCACATTCACCAGACATAACACCACTGGATTTTTTCCTGTGGGGTTATGTCAAGAGCAGTGTGTTCCAAACACCAGTTAACCGACTTGATGACCTGAAGACCTGTATCAGGAATGTGATCTTGGCTATTCCAATGGACATGCTCCACAGAACATGGCAAGAGCTTGAATATCATCTGGATGTTCTCTGTACTACTGCATGTGGCTAGCTCAATTTGTTTGTGCGCCAAAATTTTCCAAAACCCAAATGGGACTTTGTGGACACACTGATGTTTACAGTGTATTTACAAGTATAAGTACTAGGTAAAGAATTATTCTTGGTTTGATACTTATTCTTGTACGTACTTAACAGTCACCTAATACTTATTCTGAAATCATAGAATTTCTTCACTGAGGACAAGTAAGTAATTTCACATTGTAGGAAGAAACTGCAAGTAGAAGCCACATGCTTTTTTGATTAATTAGAAGAAACATGAAGTTTGGCCATATCCAATTCGGCTTTTATAAAAAGACTTGCTGTAATGGCAAAATTATAACGTATGGTGGGATAATACAGGCCACACAGGTACATTAAAGTTTACAAATTAAATGCATGGTCAGCATGCAGACATGTTTTGAAACAAACCACTTTAATTGTATCATCAATCTATAGTGGTAAATTTAGTCTTATGTAAAGATATGGGAATACATGACTTAACACAAGTACCGAGATCGAGCCTTCCATAAGTGAAGCTCATGATGATCCTTCAGCAATTTCACTCAAGATCCATCTTATATTTGTTTTTGAAGTTTTACTTTTGATATAGTTAAACATGTTTGATGCACTTTAGTATGCATATGCCTTACAGAAGCCCTGTTAGTCATTCCCTGGCATACTACATGAAATTGCAGTAATACAGAGGAAGTGCAACTGGTACAGTTGTTCGGAGGAAATTAGATTGACTATGAGAGGACATTAATAAGAATAAATGAAGCTGAATAATTCTACCTGGATGGAGGTCATAATAAATACATATTATATTTACAGATGTGTGGAACTGGACTGCTGGGATGGTTTGGGGAGAGATGAGGAACCAATCATCACTCATGGGAAGGCGATGTGCACAGACATTGTTTTCAAGGTACATCTGCACTGACAACTGACTCCATGGAGCAAGGATCTGCTTGAGAATCTGATGTTCATTCAGTTGGTTATAGAATCTCCTGCTACTTGTAGAACTTGAAGGTTCTTTATTGTGTTCACAAGAATCTGCTACTGCACCCCAGCCTAAGGCAGTTAAAGTTGGTTCACACTCTATGCCATATTTCTTAAACATGGACACCACACACTCTACTTTCTCGTAATATCTCTAACATTTCCACATCTCTCATGTATCACTCCTTGTCTCAGTTTCATGTATGCTGCTTCCACATTAAACTCATTGAAGTTGTGAAGAAAGCAGTCTTCTGGGATTTGGCACCGTGTATATGTGGTGTTAACCGACGTTTCGGAGGAACGTATCGCCCCCATCTTCAGGGTTGAAGAAGTATAGGTAAATCTGCAAGCGACAACACCGTGAGACACGGTGCTTGCAGACTTACCTATACTTCTTCAACCCTGAAGATGGGGGCGATACGTTCCTCCGAAACGTCGGTTAACACCACATATACACGGTGCCAAATCCCAGAAGACTGCTTTCTTCATAGTCACCGCCGTGAAAGCCTCAAATCTTACATCATTGAAGTTGTGTTTGTTTGGTTTTGTCATTTTTAGCTCTTCTTTTGTAGTTACAGTTGTATAGTGCTTCATTACATCAAAACATGAAGCATCTCAGTGTGATAGTCAAAGAAGAAAAGTAATAAGCTTGTGAAACTGTCTGAAAAAGTAAAGATTCCATGTAGATAGGTTCATTCATTTGTGTTTCTGCATGTAAAATCTGTGTATCCAGTTATTAATAGAGACTTTATGCAGATATATTCATGTATCCCTACTTAACCCATAAGGTATTTTCTTCATTGAGGATATATATAATGCACTGTCCTTTAGGAACATAACACTCTCATTGGACGAAATTTTCTATATATCCAAGTGTCATACCATTGATTTAAAGAACGGATAAAGAAATGTTATAGTAACAGTATTTAATATTTGCAGGATGTGATCTATGCCCTTCGTGACACAGCTTTTGTGACGTCAGACTTCCCGGTCATACTTTCATTTGAGAACCACTGCTGTAAGGGACAACAATACAAGCTCGCCAGATACTGCAATGACATCCTTGGAGACCTGTTGTTGAAGGAACCCCTGCCTGAAAGTGCTGTACGTAACATACAGTACACTCACAGATCCAAATGCATAATACGTGGTGCAATCCAAAAGTTCCAGAAATATATTAATAAAAACTATTACGTCTTACCTGGATCTTATTCTGCACCATCACCTTCAAAGTAGTCCCCTTGGGAGCGCATACACTGATCCCAGCGTTTCTGCCACTTTTCAAATGTATCTTGGAAGTCTTTCTTTGTTAGGGTGTTTAGTACCGTCTCAGTTTCCGCTTGAATTTCCTCAACTGTATCAAATCTTCGCCCCTTCAACTTGATTTTCATCTTGGGGAAGAGAAAGAAGTCACAACGAGCTAAGTCTGGCGAGTACGGTGGGTGGGGAACAACTGCCATCTTGTTTCTAGCCAAAAATTCCTGCACAATGTAAGCCATATGCAATTGTGCGTTGTCATGGTGGAGTACCCAGTCATTCGTGCGCCACTTCTCTGGACGTTTTCTCCTCACATCCTCCCTCAAATGCCTTAGAACATTGCACTAGAACTCTTTATTGATTGTCTGACCAGGAGGGATGAACTCCTTATGAACAATCCCATCAATATAAAAAAAACAGATCAGCATGGACTTAATGTTGCTCTTGACTTGTCAATCTTTTTTTGGCCGAGGTGAAGAAGGGCTCTTCCATTGCAACAGTTGCTGCTTACTATCAGGGTCATAGCCATAAACCCAACTTTCGTCACCAGTGACAACCTTCAAAAGAAAGTTTGGATCATCTTGAAGCTGTTGCTGAAGTTCCCTGCAGACTTCCAAGCGATGCTGCTTCTGTTCATTTTGCAGTAGTCTTGGCACAAACTTCGCTGCAATCCTCCTCATGTTCAGTTCCTCTGACAAAATTCGTTGACATGTACCATAACTTAGTCCCAAGGTGTTACAGAGGTCTTGGATGGTCAGTCTACGATCTTGCAGAATTAGATCCCTAACTTTCGTGACATTTTCTGGTGTGGTGCCAGTTGATGGCCGTCCCGAACGATCGTCATCATTGATCAATGTTCGGCCATTTTTAAAACGCTTATACCAGTTGTAAGTTTGTGTCTGGCCTAAACTGTTGTCAACAAAAGCTTGCTTCAACATTTGGTGCGTTTCTGCAGCGGTTTTCCAAAGTTTGAAACAAAACTTTATACAGACACGCTGCTCTCTCAGGTCAGCCATCGCAAAACCGCAAACTCAAAGGAAACACAACAATGGAAATACGTTCACCAACAATAAACCCCAACCACTCAACTTGACGCCACATTGCCACACTGATTCAAGGAGGGTGTGTGAGGAGACACCTAGCAGTATTTCGAAGTACTCATAACCATTCGCGCGCAAAATTCAAATTTCGGAAACTTTTGAATTGCCCCACGTATTTGTACAAATTATTAGTGCAATAATAACTTCATGTTTTATAAATGTGACATGTGATGTAAACTTGTCCTGTCTTTGATATATACAGTATACGAGATTCCTGATGATGTCAGTATAAAAGCTGAAAGATGTAAGGTTATGGAATAGATTATGATACATTATATGAAATTATAATTTGAGTTGTATCTGATGGCGTTAAAATAATAGTATATGATTGTTCTGATTTATGTTTAGAACAGTTCATGTATAATATAATTGAGAGCATACTGAAAAAAATTGATGATTGTCTGTGCAGCTGGAGCCAGGTGTACCACTTCCATCTCCCAACCAGCTCAAGCGCAAGATTCTCATCAAAAACAAACGTTTGAAACCAGATGTGGAGAAGGCAGAATTGGACCTGTTCATGCAGGGGCAGTTTGTTATTGAGGATGAGGAAAAAGAAGATGCATCTGCACCAATGATAGAAAAGAAAGAGGCAAATTAACTTCCCATTATATAATTGTCTTTGTAATTTGCTGTTGCCTACTTATACCTGTGAATCACAAATGTGTGAGTCAAAACTAATTGTCATGACTACAGCTTTATTTGAATTGGTTTTTAAATTTTTCCAGACACTTCTGCCATTTGCATATTTCATTTTCTAGTCTGTTTTCCTTTATCCTCTCATAGCATGACATTTATATGTATTAGAATTCTTCTTCTTATTCCTCCTCCTCTTCTTATTCTTCTTCCTCCCCTTCTTTTTTTGCTTAAATACTTGTATATCTGAATTTTATGTGTTCATCTCTACAAAGATATATTTTTTAATGACTGGACTTCACATTTTTTGTGCCTGTAGTGCTAGTTCCATTGTGCTAGGATAATTATAACAGTACAAAAGCTTAGAAATAATTAAGACATATATGTCAATGTGGTAAAAATAATCCAGCTTTAGAAACTCTAGCCTTGAAACATAGTGTGCTGGAGACAAACTTGAAAGCCCTTGCTTATGAAACAGCTAAAGTTAAGAGAGAAATTAATTGAAAATTTGAGTTACATGTGAAGGTTGTTCAAAAGAAACACATTTGTAGATTGTTTGGGGTGAAGGAGTGAAGGCTGTTAAAAATATCCTTATTGGTGTTAAGATAGGCATCCCAATAATGCACTAGCCAATGGCTTTCCACCATGAAGAAGAACTCCTTGGTGTGTTGCTGGAATCTCCACAACTTGGCAAAGCAAGTGAGCAAGTTTCATTTGGACAACCCTCTTATACCCTTTACTTGTTTTACTGCAAGAATAGTAAACTTCACAAGCTTGTGGTTTTTAATCATATATATGAGGGAAATTTTGAATCCCTGCACATCTGCTTCATGAAATTAAAATTAATTATCCAAGCCCCATTCTCCTTAGATTGGTGGTTTCCAAGTGAGATTCATACAATAATTTGAAGTTCTTACAAACAAACTGTCATACATGCATTTAGATCTTCATAAGATTAATTGTACACATAGTTTAAGGCTTTAACTGTTTCAAACTGCTGTTTGAATAGCAGTAGCAGTAGCACATTTTAAGAGAGGAGCCTAGAGCAACTGAAGACATTCCTTTATCATTAAATGTGTTTGAATCCAGTGATATATGCAGTAAAAATCAGTTTAAAATTACCTCTAATAAACAGAAACTGTTGAGTGCAGAAATAGAAAGGAATAACTATAATTTAGTGGATAATTGTCTGTTTGATTATTTATTCATCTATATTGTTGTTCTTGGGATTCATGTGAAAAGGAACAGTTTTATCATAGATGAGAAATAAATAAAACAGTTGGTCAACAGAGTATGTGTGGAATAGTTATGTGAATTATTGAAAAAGTAAAAAAAGAGATAACCTGAAAATGTATATTGCTCATTAACATTACAGTACATTATATTGGCATGACTTTCTGACTTGCGGTTTTGGTCACAAATACATAGCTACATGGTGTATCTACTGTGCAGCATTTGTTATCTGGAAGTCTGCATATCTGAAATGCAAATATGTTATATTTTCTCACCAGCTGCTTTGAATTGTAGGAGCCAGCTGAAAGTGTAGATGGCACTGCTACTCAGGAAGATGTACCCATACAAGTCCCTTATACTGGCTCAACAACTAATGTTCATCCCTGGCTCTCATCAATGGTAAACTATGCCCAGCCTGTCAAGTTCCAGGGATTCGATGTTGCAGAACGTGAGTTCTTTACTCATGGGCTTGTATTCATTAAACCCTTGCTCACATTAAGTGGCTATCTCTCTTACTTTGTTTTCTGTAAGGCCTGCTTTGAATCTTGGCCAGAGATGGACTGCGGAATAACCTAAGAATCATTCAGTCAGCTGTCAGGGAAGCTCAAACACTGATTTTTTTTTAGTCTCTTTCTTTGTCAGTGAAATTTCGTCATCCGATTAATGTAAATATAAGAATTTTTTCACTGATCTCTGTATAATTTTCATACTCATTAGAAATCTACTGAAGGCCTGTAATAAATATCCATTGTCCTAAATTTGCAACATTTTTAAGTGCTGAAATTTCAATTGAAAAATAAAATAGGAACTACAAAGTTTATAAGTTTGTATGCTGATATTGTGGGCCAAACCAAAGTATGGGTTTTTCACTATATGTGATCACAACATCGCTTTCCACTTGTCCTGATGAGTCAACAACAATGATGCAAAGACAGGAATTCTGTCTTACCACATTCACATGTGGCTTATGCTAAATTTGCTTTGTGTAGGACATAGATAAGTTTATATTAGAGTATTGTGTGTTTTTATATGAATCTTAGGTGATGTGTGACTCCACTAGAAAGAATCAGATTCAAGAGAAAATTTCCTGTAGTTAAAGTTCCCCACAGAAACGTTGTCCAGAATGTGTGAAATAAAGTAAGAACAGCTTGTGTGTTAATAGACAGGATACAAAAATGTCAACAGTGAGTATTAATAGAAGAAAAGTTGGACAGAATCGAAGCTTGGCTTGAAGATTGACCTTGTGAAAGTCTCTTTAATGCTTGCATGAGGGACATGGGTACCAGAAGGGACCATGAAGACTGCTACAAACAGTTGAGACTATGGCTGTAAAAAGCCATAGTTGTATGCTTTGTGCAGCTACGTCATTCAGTAGCTAGGCTATATTTCACTGAATGATATCTTCATTGTGTTCACAGCAATCAGCTTGATACTGAGTTCACATTATCATGTGATGTTTGTTTATTTGAATGAGCATATTTTTATCGTCTTTTTTACTGGCATTACAACCCTGGGTCTTGGCCCCTCCATGGTCTCGAGATTTTGTTACAGTAAATTTTTCCAGAGTAGGGTCATTAGCCTCACCCTCAACCCCCAGTCTGGAGGACCAGGGACTACACTTCATCTGGCTCCTACCCTTTGACCTTTCTGGCATAGGACACCCTACCAGGTACTTACGCTTCTTCCAGCATAGCTTTCCAGGTCATTGGGGCATACAAACCTTCTCTCCATGATAAGGCAGTAGTCGTCAAGCAGGCGGACATACGAACACTCAAATAACAGACATTGGAGCATAGATAATCTTACATTTTACATGTGAAATTACACTGTATAAGGTAAAAGTTTGTGGTTGGTGCACCTGGAGTACAAGTGTTATGCAGAAATTGACTGTGATAGGTACTGTGGTGTGTCGACCCATTGCTGGGCAATGGCAATGAAGGAAGCAGCTATACAACAGTCATTACTAATTAACAGCTTCACAAACAAGCATGTTTGCACAGCACCAGAGATATGGTGTGTTCTGTGCCAAGATGTTATAAGCAGGACAGTTAGTGAGAGTCGAGCATAGCTGGTAGCTGGGGAAGGGGAACATCCACCATTGAAAGCCACTACCAAGCAGCAGCTAGTGAAAACATCACTGTGGGCACTAGTATGTGTGCTTGCATGTAATTTGAATTGTGAAGTATAGTCACACTCTGTATCAAAGTGTCCAGTAAATCCAATTACCAATCCAAACCCTATTTATAATCACTCTAATTGTGACAACTGGTGTCAGAAGTGGGATTGGATTGGATAGGACTGATTCAGTTGAACCTAGGCAAGGTGAGTGCCTGGCATAAAGAAATGAATGCTGTGCAAGAAAGGATGGAAGCCAAGATAGACACTAATAACAAGAAGTTTTAGGTCCTTCAAGATACTCTCGTCGTCCAGATGGATATCCACCAAGCCAGGAGGGAGGCCATGCAAGAATAAACAGATGATAGCCAGCCATGAGGAGATGATGGTAGAAATGAGGGCCTAGCCAAGAGATGAAGGCCTGCATACAAAAGCTGGAGGCATGTTTCGAGAGTAAGGAGCTAGCCGCAGAGGAGATGGTGAACGCAGTAGTGCACCCTGAAGTCCCTAATGAAGAGGCTGTAGTGGAAACTGTCAGGCCTCTGAAGGACTGGTATGGGTACCAGCATCTAGCCGTAGAGCACCACCGACAGCCGAAAACATGGGCCAGAGCAATGGTGGGTCCCAGAAGAAGTTGACCTCCACCCACAGACAGATAAGCCACCATGCCATTCCTGCACTGTGCATGAGATACAGTTGTCAGGGACCAGGCAAGAGTGATGTATGTGGAACCCCTGAAAGACAGATGTTCAAGAAGAGACGTTGGGTGCAACCAAAACGCAACAGTGGCATAAGGGACCGAGGCCTGGGATGGAAGTTGCATCTGAGGAGCAGGGAGACGTTTTATGAAGCCCTTGGAGAAAGCATCAGACTGGATGTTGTGAAGCAAGCAGTTGAGTCTTCCATCAGGCTATGAAAAATAAGTGTTTAAACACTGTGAAGGAGCCAGCCACCACCCAAAATGAAAGAAGAGTGCACACAACTTAAGAACTAGAGAAGTAGGAGCACTGATCACTTTTGGAACTCTTGCTCACAGCCCTTGGAGAAGAAGGATGATGGTGGTACACCTGGACTGGTTGGCACCTTATTAGGGAACTGCTCAGGATGAACGGCCTTAAGGTGGGAGCAGTTGCAGAATAATCACCATGGAGACCAAGTAATGGGAAAGGAAGGCGAGGCTACTCAGATGTCACAATCACAGCCCTCGGAGTAGAAGAAGGAGTGGCAGCACGCCTGTAGGCCATTTGGGACAAATAGCTCTAAGGAGGGAGCAGTGTGGCATGTAAACCCATTGCTGAGCAACAACTGTGAGATAAGCAAAAATACAAAAACCATTACTAAGTAACGGTTTCGCAAACAAGCATGGCAACAATTGGGAACAGCAACAGTAGAACAGTGTTTTCTGTGCAACCCATACTGAGATGTTATAAGCAGGACAGTTGGAGCAACGAGTTAGTTGTTGGGCAGTCACAAGCCAGTAAGAACATGAGCATGGAATTAGAGAACATTGTTGGGATTCATCACCAGGCAATGACTTTTGAAGACATATCAGGCTGAGAGTTTCTAGTGATTTGTGAAGTGTAGTAACAAGTTGTGTAACTGCAATGAACGTGATTACAAATCCAAACTCCGTTTATATTCACTGAATCACATGACAGTATCTTTGATTTTAATGGCGTAACCCAGTGGTTAATTATGTTACAAATCCTGGAACATAACTGTAGTAGGTCCCTCAGGTTACATATTCTGAAAGTGGCCTCCAGATGTGGAGATAGCAGTGAATATTTTGATTCACAAGTAGTAGATATGTTAGAGGTGTTGAGCAAAGCGGCTAAAACCTGTCTACCAAAGGAACTAGCATGTCACGAAATATTACATGGAACCACATGCTTGGATGATTTACTTGGAGAACCTAATAATTGAAAATGCACATGAGATAGAGAAAATTGTATATTAAAGATCTTCAAAATTTGTATTTTCACCAGGTATTATTAGGGTGATCAGTCGGGTAGGATAAGATGGCAGAATGTGTGGCATTTGTGAGGGATGATGAACACATACAAAATTTTGTTGAAGGAAAGAGACCATTGGAAGAGAGGCATAGATGTGAGGATAAAATGGATCATAAGGCATGAGATATGAGGGTTTGAATTTGATTTGTCTGGTTCAAGATAGAGGCCAGAGATAGGCTTCTTGTGGTAGTGGTAATCAGCCTTTGTGTTCCATGAAACTAAAGGAACTTTCTCCCCAGCTGAGTAACTATTATCTTCTTAAAAAATACCATGTTCCCTAAGTTGTTTGATTTTTTGGATAATTAGTTCATTGAAAGTAAAGGGCGGAAAAATTCAGGGAACAAGTCCTCTGGGAGGGACTTTAAGCCGTGGGTCCCGTGTCGTAGCTTTACGGCACGTAAAAGAACCTCATGTCTCAAGGAGACCTCTGTGCCAAATTGTAGGACATTTCCCGCCCAACAGTAGTTTCTAACGCCTGTAGATGGGGGAAGCATCAAGGTACTGCTGAGCCAGTAGAGGCCGAACTCGCTGGCTGAGTTGGGGCTGATGGCATGCACCAGTACCAGTAGGGTATAGAGACTGGTAGACTATCAAAGGGGGGACGTACAATTGATCAAACTGGTTGTGGTGCATGGGGAAACCCACTCCCTCCAATAATAATAATAATAATAATTGAAAGTAATTATTTAACTCATGTGAAATTTATGATTGTGCTGCAGTTTATTAAAATCTGATTTTTGCATTTAACAGAGAATTTATACTGTGTACACGTGTAACATTCATTGTAATTCTATTATTTTTCAGAAAAGAATATCCATCACAACATGTCTTCATTTGCGGAGACTGCTGGACTAGGATACCTTAAGTCTCAAGCAATTGAGTTTGTCAATTACAATAAACGACAGATGTCTAGGATCTACCCCAGAGGCACCAGGGCAGATTCTTCCAATTACATGCCTCAGGTATACTGAAGAGAACTCCATAACTCATAAAAAGGAGGGGAAAACCACTTTGAACTATTGTAAATTTCTTGTATGCTTTGTCAAAGCTTGTTAATTTTTGTTGTTTCTGAATTCTTTATAACAATGGATCATACCAAATAAAGTGAAATCGCATACTCACTAGAAGCAGTAAATAGTCCAGCAATGAGATGTGTTTCCATGGTAAAATTTTTGTACTTAAGTGATAAGTAGAGGCTCCTAAAGTAGGCAATTGTCATGACTTGCATCATGAAGAATTTATATCTGCATTTTGGACCAATTTCCTACTTAACCTCAATAATTAAGACAAGCCTGTGTTCAGTATTCCTGTCATCACATTGTGGCATGCAAGCAGACATTATGATGTACTAACATGGACTATATGTTTCTTTATTCTCTATTGCAAATTTATATTTATTAAGAAACTGAAAGTATTTGGAAATAAAAATGCTAAGACAATTTCTTGGATCATTTTGCTGATTTAAAATGTTATTGTAGGTTTTAATATTGATTGGCAAAATTCAGGCACCTTGAAAAATATATTATGTCCTGTACTTCCTTGATGAAACTCATCACCTGTTAGTGCTTTGAATGATAATTGTCCTAAACCTGTATAGACTTTGGCTCTGCTAGATATAATTAGATATCTGAATTTAGTGCTGTATATCTTTCTGTGTTGGTGGGTCTGTTAATATTCTGATTAAATCCGTGTATTGTTTTAGGTGTTCTGGAATGCTGGCTGCCAGATGGTGTCACTGAATTTCCAGACACCTGACTTGCCCATGCAATTGAATCAAGGCAAATTTGAATACAATGGGAACTGTGGCTACTTGCTGAAGCCAGACTTCATGAGGCGGTCTGATCGTAGTTTTGATCCATTTGCAGAATCACCTGTTGATGGAGTCATTGCTGCGCAGTGTTCTGTGCAGGTCAGGTACTTGTAATCATCTGCCCCAGTATTTCCGACACTGTGTCCCACGGAAACACAAAACAAGTTTGATGGGAGCAGTTTCTCACAGTTTCCCCTTTGAAACACAGAAATAACATTTTGTAACAACTGCAGTCATCAGAGTAATTCTAGCTTAGATAGTATAATTGGAACATATAGTAAAAACCAAGTGCAATTTAAGTTGTATTTGAATTAAGAATTTTCTCCATGTATCTTATCTTTTCCAACATTTGATCAGTGGTATTCGTTTTTATGTAATGGTGTAAGTACCTTATAAAGAACATTTGGAAGATCACCAGCAGATTTTCCAGGAAATTTGGTATACATAAGGAATAGTGAATATGTATTCATGTCATGTCTGATTTCAAGCTGGAGAAAGTTTCCAGGAATGCCCAGAAATTGGCCTGTGAGGAGTCTAATCCAAAATTATTTGAATTTGGCAAAATAAGCAGTTTTTTAACTCCTTCCCTTTCCTGCAACAAATACGTGTGAAACTTGATTTCACTTAGTTCATAGTTTATGTGACAGTGCTATTGGTAGTTCAAGCTATTTCACATTGAATGAGAAGGTGATTATGCATAATGAATTGGAAAGGACATGTAAGGAAGCTGTAATGGCCTAATTTTAGATACTGTCATGGAATTTAACTGAAAAGACTTGAGGAAAATCGTGAAGAGCTTAAATCAGAATAGCCATTCTCCAGGCTGATTTGAACCTAGGATCTCTTGAATACAAATCACAATAATGAATTTTGGCTATACCTGTTCCTTCGCTCTCCACAAATCACTTTTATGCATTTAACCATGAAGTAAATATATTTACTTTAGCCTCTTCTGTCTGCATGTTAAATAGACTATTAAAACTTAGTGGTGAAAGGAGAAATGCTTATTTTGAAAGAATATAGGAATGTTGATTGTGGCTTCATGCAGGTGATTGCAGGCCAGTTCTTGTCTGACAAAAAAGTGGGGACCTATGTGGAAGTGGATATGTATGGGCTTCCAACCGATACTATCAGACGGGAGTTCCGGACACGTATGGTTCCATCCAATGGACTAAATCCAGTCTATAATGAAGAGCCATTCCTCTTCAGGAAGGTATGTAACAGTGTACTAATGTTTCTCTACAGAAATATTCTCAATTTGTATATCTCTCTCACCCTGTCTCTATCTCAGCCATTAGTTCCACCATGTATCTGTGTTCTGAGAAGTGCATTACCACCATTCAGTGCAAGGTTCTGTGTGGTAATAAATACCTAGTGCTGCTTGTATTAGAGAAAGGTGTTAGAAAAATAGGAAATACTACTGTACAAAGTATTTTGGTTTTGTGAATCATAACTTGTCATCATCTATACAGTTTATCATAGAAAAGAATTTTTCGGGTTCAAAACATTACTGTTTTACGAAACAAACTGTAGAAGAATTATAGCACATTTTAATGAAAATATTGGTTTAATCTTTCCGGAAGCGCTTTGCTCCATGGCGTTAGTTAAACCCACATGATGTAATCTTTCAGAATCCTAAAATACAAGGTGGTTCAAATATGACTGGGACTGATTTGTGTGTAAACAAGCCACACTACACAGCAGCTGTGCGACCTCGAGAGAGTGAAGTCACAACCTCCACCCTCCCTCCTGTTTGGGTTAGAACCTGTTCAGTCCTGTCTGTGAGTTCCTAGAGTGATGAGCGAACAGAAGGTGCCGCGGAGTGTGGAACAACACATTGTGATCAAATTCCTCAGAGAAAATGTCCCGTCCCCTGAAATTCACCACAGACTCCAACAACAGTATGGGGAAGAGTGTCTCTCACGGACCCGTGTGTTTGAGTGGTGTAAGTGCTTCAGAGAGGGCAGAGAGTGCATGGAGAATGAACCACATGATCGTCAGCCGCGAACATCCATCACCGAGCCAAACATTGATCGTGCAGATGCGCTTATTCGTGAGAATAGGTGCATCACTATAAAGGAACTTGGAGCAATGCTGTCCATCAGTGTTGGTAGTGTAGAAGACATCATGAAATACCGCCTGCCCTATGGCAAGGTGAATGCACGGTGGGTACCACGCACTTTGACAGACATGAACGAAATGGTGCGCATGCATGCTGCCAGTCGTCTCCTACAGCAGTTTGAAGATGAAGGTGATGCATTTTTGAAGCCTATAGTGACCACAGATGAAACGTGGGTGCACTACTTCATTCCCTGAGTCCCAGCAGTCATCACGCGAGTGGCGGCATACCAGTTCTCCCAAACCCAAGAGAGCACGGAGGAGCCGTTCGGCGGGAAAAGTGATGGCAATGTTCTTCTGGGACTGGCAGGGGGTTATCCATGTAGACTTTCTGACAGATGCCAGAACAGTCAATGCAGCTTATTACTCAGACCTCCTGGCAACAGACGTGAAGGAAAAGTTCTGATCCAAGTGGAAGACAGCTGGAAAGCGGGTAGCCTTCCTTCAAGACAATGCACCCCCCGATACAGCCAAAACAACAATGGAAATCCTCCGGAAGTTGAAATGGAACCTTCTGACACATCTGCCGTACAGTCCTGATTTGGCACCAAGTGATTTCTACCTGTTCAGAAGTCTCAAATCAGACTTGCAAGGCATACAGTTTGTGGACGACGCTGTCATCCAGACTGTTCGGGAGTGGATACGCCGCCAACCACAAGCCTTTTTTGAAAAGGGCATCAGGATGCTTCCAGAACGTTGGAAAAAATGTGTTGACTCCGGAGGGGAGTACGTTGAAGACTGACATGTGCAAGTAAGTGTTTGACAATTGTGGTTTTAAAAAAAGAAATCAGTCCCGGTCATATTTGAACCACCTTGTATAACAGCAACAGGTAGTGTGTTCAGTGTTTGTTCTATTTTTAAATAAGACAGACTAATATCAGATTGAACCTCTGACTTTGAAAGCTGTTACATCTCACAATCTTCAAGTTAACTTTAAATTTATTGCTAAAGTTTATCAGTATCGTTATGACTGCTGACATTTGCATGGCTGTCAGGTTGTGCTTCCAGACTTGGCTGTTTTAAGATTTGGTGTTTATGAGGAAAATGGAAAGCTGCTTGGCCAGCGTATTCTCCCACTGGATGGCCTGCAGGCAGGCTATCGGCATATTTCTCTGAGGACTGAAGCCAACTTCCCCATGTCACTGCCCATGTTGTTCTGCAATATTGAGCTCAAGATATATGTGCCTGATGGATTTGAAGGTAAAAGAGAATATTGGTAGTTTCCTTTTGTAGCATAGGGCCTCAAGACATATATTAGTCTCTGCCTATGTATATATTATTCTTTGTTATTTTGGGTTTTGGGATTAATGATTTTGAACATTTTGTTTGTGTAATCTGAGAGTAAGTTACTCATAAAATTTTAGTTGAGGTTCTCACAGTCATGACTCTAAAGAATACTGCCATCACCTTCAAGGTACCTACCCTGAAAGTGGAAGCTGCGGTTCTTCTGAAATGTTGGTTAGCAGTTTCCCATATTACACTGCATAACATCCCAGAAGATAGTAATTTTCAAGTTTGTTCATCCGTTTGAATATATTTTCATACTGTAGTACAGGCTGTGGCTTTCAGAGTTACATCCCCATTTTGGAGGATTCTGCTACCCTTATTTTCAGGGTACAGTGATCTTTAAGATGGCTGTGGGAGGTTTCGTAGAAAGAACTCCCTACTAGACAACATTGTGTCATAACCCAAAAGACCACAGTCTACATTTTCATTGATCTGAATATCTCAGGTCTTTATACTGCAATATTCTACATCATGTTTTTCTTTCAGATTTTATGGCTGCTCTGTCAGACCCAAGAGCATTCATTTCAGCCCAGGAGAAGAGAAACCAGCAGCTGAAAGCTATGGGCATAGAAGAGACAGACATCAAAGATCCACTGTTGGGTGTTGATGGAAATTCAACAGCAGGGGCTGGAGGAAAGAAAGGAAGCAAAACTGGTGGTGCAAAAGGTGCTGCAGCTGGTGCCAAGGTTGAGGAAGAGAAGAAAGGTACATTATTTTACTTCACAATCACCATCCTTTACAAAAATACATTCCCATAGTCTGTTCACTGCAAGTTCTGTATGTGCAACTGGCCAGAATTTTGTAAGTATGTGATTTCAGAGGACCTTAAATTTGAGTCAATCACTGCTGAATCCTTGAGAGCAGAAAAGGGATTTCAGAAGATAGCCCGTAAACAACAAAAAGAACTAGATACCATGAAGAAACGACAACTGAAGGAGCAGCTGACCATGCAGAAACAGCAATGTACAGCCATTGAGAAACTTATCAAAGGAAAAAAGTAAGTAAATATCATCATGATATTCAAATTATGATATATTTGTAAATATAGAAATAGAATTATCATAATTGTTTTTTTTTTATTATTATTTATTTGTCCATTTTGTTTTTTCATGCAGATGGCTTATACAGAAATCATACAGCTTCTGATTTACCAGTATTGTGAAATTCATGTTTTGTATTCCTGTTAAACATTGGAATTGGCAAAACCACACTCAACAAACTTGAAAACCTGTGTAAAAAATAATGTTCAGGAAACTTAATTTGAAGATACATATATATTGTCACATATTATTTACTAGACATGGGGTTTGGATTTATAATTGGACTTGTTGAACACTTATATCTTAAAACTACAAATTACTATAACAGTCTCACTAATTTACACCCTCTATATATCATTACAACTACAGCACACATAAACTACTCTGTTTGTTATCCTCGTGTCACTAGTCATTGCTAGATAGCGGATACTAACACTGGTTATTACCCACAGCTGAACATGAGCTGCCACTGCCAACCTGAAACTCAGGATTTATAACTGCTGACTCCTACCTTAAAGTGACTAACTTTTCGTGTTGGTCATTGCTATGTAACCTTGGCACATACCACACAGAAAACACTGCTTCCAACAGTTCCTTTAGTGTTGCATGTTGATTTGTTGCTACAGAAATGTGTTTACTGTTCAATTGCCTAACATTGCCCACCTCCACTTGTTCAGCTGTTTTGGCTTTCGGCCATCATGTCACAGTATATTGAAACTAAGAGTAGTTTATATTACATAATTCACACTCGAATACCTTGCAAATAATGATGTGAACAGAGTATTTCGTTAATTGCTCTTGAGAGTGAAAAGTTCTGCTGGAAATGTTCAAGATGCTGGAATTAGCTCAATTTTTGTTATTCAGAAATAGGATATTTAAAGTCCAGGGACTGGCGGCAAGCCTTTGGGAGAGATTCTCTGCATAGCACGGATTTAAATACAGCTGTCTGAGATTTTTTAATGCTGTAACAGAATGCGCTGCCTAGCGATAGCAAGCAGGGCATCCTGAGTTCTCCCTTTCACCAATTTCCATTCCAAGCTATGACCAGTCAAACTTGGTTACCCATTTATAATGACATAATTTCTCTTGCCCCTTGGATGATGCTATAACCGAGATGGCTCTTATAAGCAAATTTTTCCCATGTGCAGACAATAGTCACAAGGAATTATACAGCATAAGACAAAACTGAGTTGTACAAATGTGTTCAGCAAGGTACAGTTACATACATGGTATTAAACAGCATTTCATTAAATGAAGAACTTTCTAAAAATTCTGTAACCATTTATGAATGTACTGAGTGGCTCCTCCCCTCTTACAGATATTCTTTAGAAAGGGGATGACTCCACCTCTGTTCCTGGTTTGTATGTGCATTCTCAATGTCTCCCTCCCCAAGATAGAATGAGGTGTCCAAGTAGCAGCTAAGTAACTAACTAACAATTATTTAATATAACAAAATGAATAAAGAATGAGCAGTCCAAATACAGACTCTACTCACAACACTCCAAGAAACTGATATTAAATACAACAAAATTCTCACAAGGAATACGTGCACACTACATTAGCAAAAGTCAAACAGCAAAAAAAAAAAATATATGGGGCAATACAAAACCCCAGGCAAATAGTAGTAAACACTCAAAGAAACTGCAAAAATGTGACACACCATAGCAGTCGTCTCAAAGAAAGGGGACGGTAGCCCTCCGCCGCCAGAAGGAGAAACCAAACGAAATTTTGAGCAACCAAAACTAAACAGAAATCTGCTACCTCCTTCACAGACTGCTTGTAACCAAGTATCTTCTGTCCTCTTCCCCCTCGCTAGACTAAACAAGCTAGAAACAGCTGGAGGGGAGAGAAATCACGTAATGGACTGGAATGGGATAACGTTCTAGAACTCTAGAACACTGAAGGAAGGGTTGGGTGGGAGGGATTAGAAGAAGAGGCTGCTGAAACAAGGCATGGCTCAATACTTCTTTGAATTCTATCATAAATCCTGGAAATTTATAAAGGTGTCCAATAACAAGTTTATTTTCAGGATGTCAATAGAGCCACAACAAATGTCAATCATGCTTCCTCAGCCCTTGGATTCAGTTGAAGGTTAAGTAATATATAAGCCCTGTAGTATATACAGCCACATTTTTATAGCATGAGTTACATACAAACCTTCCATACTTAAGAGTACAGAATGGGAATGTAAGTATAGATTAATTAATCTGGGTAAATATATCAATATGTGGAAAACATACTATAAATAAATGATGAAGAAATGAATTAGTGGAAACCATAGACTCTAGGTAGACTGGTACATATTTTCTGAAGAATGTCTGTGTTTATCATACAGTAAGAGTGATTTGGTGTCAGACCCAACTGTCCGAAAACTGGTTGTAGAGCAGACAGTGCAGTGGAGTGACATGGTTGAGCGTCACCGTAAGGAAGAATGGGAATTAGTGAGGCAGCACCTGACAGACCAGCAGGATATTTTGAAAAGGCTTATGGAGACTTCACATGCTGCACAAATGAAGCAGTTGGAAGCTAAGCATGATCGGTGAGATAAGTGTATCTTATTGACCTAGGTCACAACCTTAAGTCTTAATTTGAATAAATTAGATATGTGTGAGAATGACTTTCTCAGTTTGAGACAATAATGTCTAAAAAAATTTTAAACTTCAGTATTTCTAGAATACTTGAAGAAAATGAACAAACTCATGTGACTCAAACCTTTTTCTCCAACATTATTCTTCAGCATGATGGATTGAACTCTCAGCTTGTTCTTCCCCCAGATATATAATTCTTAAGATTTTGTCTTAAGAATTTCGTAGATGTAACTACCTAGAAGATGTCAAAACTCATCTAATTTTAATATTTGTTACTACATTAAAAGCATGTTAAATTTGAAAATTGGTTGTTACTGTTCAGTTCAGTTCCATATCTTCATAGTCACCGCCATTGAAAACCTCACATCTTCTGCTGTTTTGGAGAACCTTACTGTTGCCAGTCCAGCTTATGTACATTTTTCTGTGACCCAGAAAAAGGATTCACATTAGTATTGAACCTCAAAAGACCTGAAGTGTAGCCTTTTAAAATTACAAATTCATCTCAAAATACATGATTTATGGAAGTTGTGTCTTTTCTGTCTGTAAGAATGCAAAAGAATATAATTAGAATTATGTTGGGACTCAGAAGGAGGGATTCGTGCAGGAACTTATTTAGAGAATTAGAAATCTTACCTCTGGCATCTCAGTATATACTATCTCTTATGCTCTTTGTGATAAAAAACAGAAACAAATTCATAGTAAATTCACAGATTCATAGAATAAATACCAGACAGCAAAATAATCTCCATCAGCCTCTTGTAAATTTGAGTAAATACCAAAAGGGAGTTTACTGTTTAGGAACAAAGGTCTAAAATAATCTACCACAACATATTAAGGACATATCGAGTGACACTAAGAGTTTTGAGGTACAATTAAAACAATTTTTATATTTACATTTCTTTTATTCTTTACAGGAATATTTTGGTTATAAATCATTTAAGATGCGAGTAGTTGTCTTGCTTTACAATTAAAAGAAGACAAGATTGTCAGTCTGTGTTCTGGTTTTTAGATGCTTATTTTAGATATACACAATCTTTATATTACTGTGTACTAGTCTTTATTTCAATTTATTATATAATTAATGTATGTTATACAAAACTCATTAA